TGTCAGCAGGGTCCGCGATTGCCATGCAAGCGGCCCAAGATAAGCAAAAGGAGTACTCAGATCAAACAAGGAAGAGGAAACTTAAGTATATTTGAGGTTGGTGACTTAGTGTTGCTAGACACGAGGAACCTACCTCTAGACACTGTTAGCTCTGTCGGCAGCAACAAACTGAAGCACCGCTTCATCGGACTTTTGCAGTCCTGGCCAGACATGGTGCGTCGTACACCATCGACCTTCCAAAGTCAATGACGACGCACCCGACGTTCTATGTCGGACGTCTTAAGCGGTACTTTGACCCGCAGGGGGTTGCTGACTCGCAGTCCCCCCTGACCCAGCTCCTCGAAGCGAGGGCCGGTCACAGTCGTCGACGAGGGGCGTCGGAGCAGGCACCCAAGCCTCGGTCGGGACGGCAAGGCTGCGGTCAAGACCGTACGCCGGAGGGGCTCCATACGAACGGACCCCGGCGCCATGCGCCGAGTACGCTGAGTACGCCGGGTACGCACCATACGCGTACGTCTGGGAGTGTGCCGCAGGCGGCTCCGGACGTGGCAACAAAGCCTCGATCCGTCGGATCATTCGAAAGGCCTCGTCCAGATCGGACGAAGAGGCCCGGCGATCCACCCGCAGGTGCAGGCTCGCGACCTCTCGCTCCACCAGGTCCAGGCGACCCGCAAGACGAGCGAGCTCGCCCTGATTCCCGGTCTGGGCGGCAGCATTACCGCCAGTCCCAAGGCTAAGTGCAATCTCAAGCACGAGGACACGTTGACGGAGGCGGTCAACCTCAGGGTTCCGTGTCGGACCCGCAGTCGGAGCACTCGGACGAGAGTGGCTCTCGGGAGGCGCCGAGTACTCGTACTCGTACGAGGGCACCTCCGCCCCTGCTTGACCGGAATGGAGAAGTTCACTTCCACGTGGAGCGGATCCTCCAGAAGCAACGGTGTCGCGGTAAGCGACAGCTCCTCGTGAAGTGGAGGGGTTATGCCCACTCCGAGAACTCGTGGGAGCCGATTGAACGGCTCCTGATTGACTGCCCAAAGGCTGTCGCAATCTGGGAACAGAAGCGGCGGCAGCTTCATAAGTAGTCCGGGGCTTCTTGCCCGAACGGGGTACGGACGATGAATACATACCGTACCCGCGCTCATCGTGAGCGCTAGAAGCCGCGCGCTTCAGGATGTCCCTTGGCAGCATACGCTTGCTGATCAAGTGGGCAAACCTCACACGAAGATCACGCTGGTCCAGGATGTGGGACAGCTGCTGATCTTCATGGAGCTCCCATAACTCCGTGGGCGAGTACTTGAGAATCTCCACCCACGCCCAGAACATGTCCTCACAAGAACTCCACGTGGGACAGTTCTCGGGCATAACCCAGGGGTATCCCCAAACAGGATAGAGACCACCCCGGGTCTCGGGCTTCTTACGACAAGTCGTGAAGTCCTTAAGGGGAATGCGGTGTGGCGCGAGACGCACACACCGAGCAGCCTCCAAGTTGTCAACGAACAACTGTTCTTTCTGAACAAGGGCTCGTTCATAAATGCCCCTAGAAGTGTGGCCGCCCACAAGGCCACGAGGAGCGACGAGAACCTCCAAGAAGAGGTCAGCCCCAGAGCTCTCCTCGGGAGGCCAATACCCTCTTGAGTTGATGGCAGCTCCCTGGCTGACGGGTGCCGCCACCGAACCCCCACGCACACGCTGGGCAGCTTGGAAATCCTCCTGCTGCTGGTCGAGGTCATTCGAGACCTCCCGGGGCTCAACAATAGCACCCTCCTCATTCTCTTCTTCCTCCTTCTCCTTCTCTTCATCCGAGGAGCCGAAGAGACTCTGATAGGAGCGTCGAGTCTCCTTCTCCTCGCGGAGTGGAGACTTAGAGGCGGTACGCTTCTTTGAGGGCTTGGCGCCTTCGGCTTTAGAGACCTTAGCGCGCGCAAGACCCTCGGCAAGCGAGAGACGTTTGCGAGGATTCTCTTCCTCATCGCCACCGGCTTTGGGAGTGCCCTTAGCCTTAACGGCCGGACTCTCAGAGCGCACAGAGGTCCTGGGACTGTGATCACCGTGATCACTAGCGGGCGATTGCACGCTGTCATCTTTGTGCTCACTTGGCACTGGGCTGTGCCCTCCCACAGAGCCCGTAGGAGCATCATGAGTGCTCTCGGACTCGGCATCGTCTTCACTGCCCGAGTTGAACTCACGTTCTACGAACCGAGGGTTCGGACGATTGTCTGAAGACGAGGGCGACGGACTGCGGCGCCTGCTTGCGCGCTTGTCCACAGCCGCGTCACCCGAGGATCCGATCGCCTCGGAGGCCACCTGAGTAGCCTCCTTGAGTACAGAGCCTTTGCTGTGAGGCTTAGTGCTCTTGGCCTGCGCCTTACCGGCTGCAGCCTTGGAGCGTGTCTTAGCACCGCTCTTAGCAGTGCCACGAGGCATGTTAACGGTCGAAGTGGAGACCTAGACGAAGAGCGCACAGGTTGCTGCTCGAGGCTCTAACTGTGAAGTGAGCCTCCCCGCCGCGCTCGCGCGGCCAAGTCGATGGTTTTCGACTTTGAGAATGAGAGTTTGTGACGAACACCTCTTCATTCTGATTGGTCGGTAAACCGAACCTAAGTGGGGGAGGATGTAACGGGGTACGTAGCCCTAAGTGTACCCTGGCTACATGAAGTGTGACACTTCACACTTCAGGAGTATGACACGTCATACTCCGGGATATTTGGTACAAGGTACCAAAGTCGCTCAAAGCCAACCATTGGTTAAATGACATTGCATTTCTATAGGTAACTTATAGTTTGTATTAAACCCAAACTTAACCTACCTATAAATATACTCAGTTTACAATCTACCTTATTTAGGTCACTTTAATTAAAGAGGGGACCTGTGAACTGCCGTTCACTGAGAGTTTGTATACTCTCGGAAGATAACTTTCTCTAGCGCAAGGTGCTGTGTGACCCCGCCACAGATAATATCACAAGAGCTGAGACCAGATCCGCTCATGTGAGTTGAAGCTTGCATGTGATAATATCATATTATGATAAGAAGTACAGTGTGAGTGTGTGAACTTTTTGATAACTAATGGTGCTCATCTGTATATGTAGTTGTGATGATATGCAGATAAAGACCATTGACGACATAAAGTTGATGTCGAAAAGAGAGTAAAAAAACTGGTCGACCTCAACGCTAAATTCTGAGACGAGGGTTTGTCAGAAAGTAAGGAAACTTCTAGTTCTGGTTCTCACGTAAAAAGAGATCGAGAAGAAGAGATCTGCTTACCACCACACAAATACATTTCAAGGCATCTAAGAATGTTGTCTGCAACAAGTGCTACCTTAAACCTTGTACGTCTTTAAGAGGGGTCCATCTGCTTGGTGTTGATCGTGGCGAAAGAGGGCGATCGCATCCAAAAGCACTGACAGTGTGACAGGAGCAGGCTTATCAGGGCCGATCTACCGTCAAACCCTGCTTTATGGAACGACTTGGGAATGAATCAATGCTGCTAGCAACGATACTGCGTTTATTGTCGCAAGTGGATTTGACGTCGCGAGCTTTCACTTTCTGCTAAAGCTATTTGTCAGAACTTGTTGAGAGCGGATTTTGAGCGAGTCAGTAGTCACTACTGACTGTAGTGCGTACATCGGGTCCTTCAATTAGCAGCGTGACGTGTGGTGCTCACGTTTCGCACTCGATCCCAATCGTTGGCGCCGCGGGGAAGTACCTCGTTAATGATAGTTAGGAGCGCCATGGTATCCTCGCTGTATCCTTGAGCACCAACAGGGCGGCCGCCCTTCGTCTTGGATTTTCCGCTTAAATGTTTTTTTTCTGGGCCCTGTTGTTTGCGCGTGTCGCGTGATTTGGTTCTAGTGGCTCAGAATCCGTCGGATGCACTTCGATGCGTCGTCTGCCGCAGAACGAGCGATCAGTGGCGCTATTTCCGCTCTTAAGGGACAGCTTTCTTCATGCGTTTCGAGCCATAGTGTGTTGTCTCCCTAGACACGGTCTTCGCCGTGCGATGGATTGCAGATTTGGCGGCATTCTTGGTGCTCGTCGTGCTCGTGCTCGTCATGGTCCCTGCACTCAAGCTAAGTCTTGCCGTTGCTGTCAGAGATGCCGAAAAATAAATTGGTGCCACAATTACTGCAATAAGAAAGCACCAATTATCTATTGGAGGCTTTCAGGAGAGGAAGACCAATTATTTATTTTCGCTCCTGTTGTAGCACCAATAATCTATTGGGCGGTGTTCAACTAGCCATTCATTCTTTAGTACTTGTGCCCTCGCTGTGTACCAATATTGCTGCACCAATAATCTATTTTCTGAGCTGAGAAAGTTCAATAATCTATTTTGGTCTAGTCAACTCCCTAACCCAATTATTTATTTTCTGCTTTGATTAGCAATAGATAAAAATGCAATATTCGGCATCCCTGGTTGCTGTCGCTCTCGGCGGTGTCTGCGATGGGCTTGTAGAGTGCGGAGGAAGAGCGACGTTCAGTCAGTATGAGTGCCGGTCTCCTCAGCTCACATGTCGGAAACCATTCTGTACGATATTTAGCTCTAGAAGCAGCGGGCTGTACTCAATCTGGACACAGCGATTGTAAACCGAACATTTGACCGATAGTTCCTACCGTCTAAAAATTATGCCCTAATATTATCAATGCTCTCAGAAGTAGTAAATTATTTGTTTTTCGAAATCAAAAGCGAAAACAAATTATTGCATCCAAAACAATTTTTCATTGTCATGCACCGTTAGAAATGAATTTCAAGAAAGTACTTGTAAAAATCTAATATTGAAATTGATATCTGACAGCTTAGCCCATCATTCATTAAAACATCTGTAAAGCACTGTTTTGAAAATTCAAAACAATTATTATTTCGGAGCCCCTGATCTTGAAAGTCCAAATAGCACGTGTATTTCAATGATACCGGATTTACTTCTGGTCGATCTTCTGCGTCACTGTCAATCGTGGGTGGTCAGAAAGTTAGGCCATAGGTAAACCTTGTTTATACTAGTGGGGGTGTTCATTGGTCTGGTGAAAAAGAGGAAAACTGCACAGGACGAGAAGCTATTAGGAAAGTAAAAACTGCATGCATTTGAGTTGGCTTCGTTTTCAGCTAAAACAGAGAAATCCTCGTTACGAGGGAACCATGAGTTCGCTCACGGTTGAAGGCCACAAGCTGCTTGCTTTGTGTCGCGACATCTAGTTGAGAGTCCCCGACACAGCTCCGACCTTGGTGGTGGCAGTTCCTGCAGCACTCTTCAAGTAGCACACAGGCTGACCGGGGTTGTTGTTGATGTACGTGTACGCCTTGCACCCGGCCGTGCTAGCGCAGGTATCGCAGCAAAGCGATGGGAGGCTCACGTAGACAGTCTTAATGTCATTTCCGTAGTAATCCTTGTCAGTGAGTTGCTTGGAGCATTTCGCTGGTGGTTGGATGCACTGGTAAAAAGTGTCGTTCCACGGCTGGCAATAGTAGCCGCTCGGGCAGCACGTAGCTCCGTTACTGGAACCACAGGTGCCGTATGGTGCCGTGGTGCAGGTCGGCGATGATGGCGTTGGCGTCGGCGCCGGGGTCGGGGTCGTTGACGATCCCGTCAAGATACCCGAGACTGCTCCAACGGAGGGTGTTCTGGTTCCGGTTCCGCTCTTCAGATAGCATGCCGGTTGACCCGGATTGCTATTCACGAAAGTGTAAGCCTTGCAACCAGCAGTCTGGCTGCAGCGCGTGCAACACTCACCGGGCTGAATGCCGTAGATGGTCGTGATGTCGTTCCCGTAGAAGTCGACGTTCGGGAACTGCTGCGTGCACTTGGCGGGGAGATTGAGGCATTGGTAATAGTTGGTATTCCAAGGTTGGCAGTACTGCGAACTCTGGCAACAGCTCGCTCCGGCGGCATCGGAGCCACAGTTTCCGAAAGAGGGAGTCGAGCACGCACCGGAGGCGACAGCAGCGAGACCAGCGAAGGCGACGGTAATGCGAGCGAGCATTGTCTTAAGCAACTCTTGGATGGAGAGTGGAGAGGAGGTCGGTTTGATGCGTACGAGGCAAAACAGGAAGTGATCTGCCAAGTGAAGTGGCCTTCGACTACGAGCATTAATGGCCATCGTGAGCTTCATGCGGCTGCTGATCCAACCAGCTTCAACGCGTCATCACCACGGTACAGTTTTGCTGAATGTATCCACTGACAGCAAAATGGATGCAAAGGATTCCGCTGTTGGAGTTTCCGAAAAATTGAAATGGATATTCCGGTGTCGAAGTAGTACTTCAAATAACCAACAGAAATGTAGGCAAGATCGACTCGGCTTAGGATGACAACGGACCTTGATTTCTGAGTCAGGTACCCTGAGTCAATAGGGAGCTTCGAAGTTCGTGCTGAAGTTTATTATGCTGAAAAATTGAGCATGGCGATTGCAATGGCTGGAGCGGCTGCCACAAGCTTTTAGACGGGGCGTGGTTGTTGCCAACCCAACTGCGGTCGATAAAAACGGTGGAGAAACAATACGTAGGGAGTACGGTATTATTCGTCCAGCGTCCAAGTAGCAGATGCCTCCTTGGTCACACATCAGGTCGTTTGGTGACAAGAACCAGCTTGGAGGACCCCCACTAGCACAAAATCAGAAGGTCACCACCGACATCCTGCTCCTCTCATAGTGGACTAAGCCGTGCTTCAGCAAAGTCAGTAGCTCCATCTTCTGCGTCTCGTCCCCCATGGCTTCAACCAGCCGCTCCTCGTCGTCTAGATCTTCCTGACAAACTTGCAAGCGTTCTCGACGCTCGAGTTCTAGCTGATCTCTCCATTGTTGGATCTCGTCGTCACCTCAATGCCCAATACTCTCACGTACGACTCGACAACATGACCGACGCAGGGTAGAAATTCTACCCTTGAATGCCCACGACCCGTCCTGTACAACACGCGCGTCTCGTCTCGTAAGTGCTCAGCTCACCGGATAGATTCAAACCGCGACGACAAGTGCTGAATGACGCCACGAAGTCATTGCGCAAGCCACCAAGTAGTCACCGAGGCGATTTGGCGTTCTTTATACGTTGGGCGGGTGGTTGCCTCGTTGCCACGGCTTAATGGGCCCGCGTACTCGACCTTCTTTATAACGCCCCTTTTAGTCTTCACTTTGTATTACCACCGGCTGTTCGCTTCAGCAAATGTGAACAGAGGACGTCGTACGAGGGAGCCACCAGAGGTGAAGACAGGAGGAGGCGTGTCTGCGTCGAGCAACAATATGGGCAGATATGAACCACCCTCATGTGGCAAAGATGCTGGATGCGTGTCATATCGGTAAGAAGCCATTCGTCGCTCACAAACCAGCGGAACCTCTCGTTTCGAATCGAGCAAACGCTCAGTCTTGGGAACCTCTGCCTGGAGGGCTCTGGGACTGCAATATCTCCACGAACGCGAGCTCGGATACTAGAACTTTAATAACAAGAGGCTGTAGCTCGGCACCTTGTCACAACTAGTGGAGTGCTAAGTGGACTGAACTTGTAAAAGAGAAGTATCGGCCTCGTTGCAACGGGGCGAATCAAATAGTTTGAACATGCGGGACTTGGCTGCAACACTCTCACAGAATGACAACGACGACGGGGGGGGGGGGGGAGAATTGATCGCGTAGTGGTGAGCTTGTTCGTTGCCGCTCACTTCTTAAACTTTTTCGCCGACCAAACGACTTTCATCAGGTAAAAATGACCAAGTACCAGGTACCGGGGTCTTGGATGTCGTAGTTGGTAAACTACCGTGCGCACCGATCTAGAAACGGGAGACATTGGTAGTAGTTCGAGTTCCAGGGCTTGCTGTCCTGGCAACAGTATGTGATCATAATCTCGCTGGTTATTCTCTGCGGCAGAACCTAGCATAACGAAAAACAGCTATAATAGTAAAGCGAACAACCCACTGGAGTCTAAGCAGGCACCAACACGAAAGAGTTTTGGCAACGACTAGAGTCTTGCAGGCTTGCAAGCAGCAACCTTCACAGTAGAGTTCGGTGAAACAGCTGGAGCACCAGAACCTTTGCCGGTGTCGTATCAAACGACACCATACGACACCGGCACAGGTTCTAGTGCTCCAGTTGTTCCGCCATTTGTTGGCTTTGGGCGGTGTCGGTGCCTCGCACGTACCTGCTTCACCTCTGTATTTTGATGTAGAAGCCGGATTTTTAAGTCGGTTCTAAATTTCCAAGGTCTACTGACCTCCCGTATTCAATATCAAAAGGACACATGGTACCAGGTGCTCCATTTTGCGTCGTGGCCCCACAAGCTCACTCGTGGTTTTTCCTCCAAGTCCAAGCACTACTTGCCTACCACCTATCGATATAATAATGCGAGTGCTCACCGTTGCTGCTACCGCAATCGCTGTGGTTGTTGGAAAGTCTGACGCCGCATGCCCCAACACAAACCTCGGCAGATGTGGCGACGCCTCCAACCCTGAATGCTGCCCTGAGGGGAACTACTGCATGCCGTGGGCGGCCAACAACTATCAGTGCCTGCCTGCTCCCGCCCAGTGTTCTCGCCAGTTCACAGGCTACGATTTCTACGGTGGTGACATCAAGACGGTGTATGGTCTGCAACCGGGAGAATGTTGCGCAACGTGCCTGGCAACCAGCGGTTGCTTGGCGTACACTTTCATCAACGAAAACCAGGGTACAACTGCTTGCTTTCTCAAGGCGGGAATGGGACAGCCGAGGAAAGTTGTTGGTGCCATGTCGGCTGTCCTCGACAGCTACACAAGTGACCAGGACCACACCCCGAAGCGCCGTCTGCAAGGCGACAGCCCTCGCGTTGAGCTTCCGGGACTCTAGACAGTCGAAAGCTAAAGTAAGACCGAGACTCCTAACACTTAAAGTGTACACTGTGATTTTTCTGCGTTTGAAATATGTTGCGGCCAGGAAAAGCCTGGTCCGAACTCTGCAACCTTTACAAGCCAGCCATTGTCTTTTCGTGGCACGCTGTTCACGACTATAGTATGGTAGCCATGACGCATTTTGTTCGCATAAGCCATGTAAACAATGTCATAAGAACATGGCAATCTTTAGTGCGCATTCCATTAAATCGAAAATGAGTCGTTTGGAATGAGACCCATGAGGCGAAATAACCTTCGATCTGTACGCTCTTCTTCGCGACTGGAATCCTGATAGCTGTCACTGGGTTGGCTGACGCTATCTCGGGTTTTATCCGTACAACACAGAAGCTGAGCCTCAAACTTCTGGTTGGCATCCTCGACGAGAGCGTTGAGCAGTGAAGCCACAGCAGACGCTGCGTCGAACTGACGGCTTTCCATTAAAACTTGAGCTTCAATGTTTCCCACCATTTCCACAGTCGCTAGATTATCCACTTCGACTTGCACTCGTTCATTCCGCGAGTCTCGCAAAATCATTGAAAAGCGGCGATATCTCCAGCCACACGAGGCATCAACAGTGCTACCTCGACGAGTTTTGCATTTATTTGCACAAGCTCCAAAGCGAGTTTGGGCGGCGTTGTTTCGAGTAGAAATTTCCGGTAAAGCTTGATCACACCCGGTACAGTATCGCTCCGCTAATTGCGGTGCAAAGCTCGGCAAGACATGTGACTCATGTCCAAAATGGCGACCCAAACAAACCTGTTCTACACGGATATTTTCCAACGTGGCCAGTCCTTCAAACGTGCATCCTTCTAGCTCTTCTAGCGTCGCAAATGTAACTGGTGCACTAGCTTTCATTTGTAAGTTTTCTGCTTGGAAAGGTGCTCCCGAACATGACATTTGCTTCTCTAATTCGACCGACTCAAGGTCGTCTGGTTCCAAGAATCGGAACACCGAATGAGGCGTAGTATTCGCCAGCAGCCGGTTGGATAGCGCCTGAAGACTCACCACAATCCCATCAATTTCAATAGCACCGTGGTGTTCCAGTAATCGCGCAACAAATCGTTTATCAGCATGCTGATCCCAAAGGTTCACAGTCATGACATCTCTCGGCGAGTCATACATGATCAGTTCGCACAGCAGTACGCCATCCAGCTCCGAGGCAACAAGTCCTTCCCTTCCAGTCGATGCCATTGTATTATCTGTCCGAGGTCGCAGTTTGCAAACAACCGACACGACCATATTCTCCCTTAAATCCTTGATCATCGACCTGTTCTTCCTCCTCTTCGATGTCGTTTCTTCATCTACTACAAACTCTCGACAATGCTGCTTGTACCATTCGATCATTGGATATAGATCCTTTAGCGGAACATCCTGTGTACTGAAGTACCGGTCTTTCCGATACAACAACTGGACTGTAGACGACGTCGCAAATTCATCATTGCGCAGGATGAATTGCGCTTCCACATTGCCCCGATAGGATTTAATGCGGCAAAAAGAGAAGAGAACAATGTCCCCGACTCGGAGTACAGCGTCGGCGCTTAATAGCTGCATGGGGCCTGAGTCTTCGTTGGACGCTGGATGTATCAATGTGGGCGGGGCCTCTCCCCAACAAGTTATCTTGAAGAACTGACGACTGGCGTCGCCCACATGCAAGACATGACACGCCTGAACGCGCTGACGTCCCACCAGCACTCTCTTGCCTGTTGCAATCTGCTGCACGGCCGCAATAAAATGCACGCTCTCACCAACATGCGTCGCAGCCGTGTCCAGCGAGATGGTGGTCATTATCCGTGATATCGCTTCCTGATAAGTTGAATGTCCCTGTTGAAGTTATTCGGTTTCAGCCAATCAAATATTGAAAGAAAAGATATGGCCTTCGACCAATCACGAGCTGCGTGTTTCTGATTCCGTCACTTCAATTCCCCCACTCCAACGATGATGAGTAAGCTCCGCGCGGAAGCCGACGCAGCCTCGCCGCTTCAGGTGGCTGTTGACCTCGTGTACACTACCGACGCCTCGTGTCGCTCGGTTAGGGAGCTGCCGAGCTCGAGCGATGCACTGGCGACGCGTCTGATGCCCGCGAACGCGGGATTTCGAGGAAATTTGCAGCTGTCCAAAGCAGCCAGTGGTGACGGCTGTGCGCTGTATCTGACGGTGAAGGGCGCGGTATCAGCTACCTCCACCGATTTCCAAAACGGCTTCGATGTGACACGTAGTGTGCACCAGCAGCTGACGGAGCTACTGAGCGCCAAGTGGATTGAGAATGTTAATCTTGCTCGAGCGGCTGTAGCACTTGACGGCGACAAGCTTCTAGCCGTCTCTTTGACGGCCGAAGACGCGAATGCGACACCGGAGAGCATGCTGACTGTGCAACAAGGAGCGTGTACTGAGCTGCTGAACGCTTTAAAAAGAAAAGATGACGTCGATCTTCTGCCCAGACAGGTGGAGACTAGTCCGCTGGACGTCATTAAGCAGACGGATGCAGATGAAGCTGCGAGCTGTGCCGTAAGCTTAGATGTGGCGGGGTATACCCCACGTTTCAGCTCGGACGCCGAGGCGTTCCAGCTACTCAAGGCGGTGGACGAAAAGATGGAGAGCTTCTTCACTGGCCAACCCAGTGCGACACTCACCAGTGCCAATGTGCGACTACATGTGGCGTCAGTTGTAGCGCAAAATGTGTCAATGGAGATGGAGAGTGAGAACGTGTCGAGCCTTAAGTTCAATGCTCCATCGTATGAGGAGGCGCTGGGCATTTTTGCCCTCGTTGCGGTCCTTGTGGCCATGATGATGGGCGTCGTCGTTCAGAAGAAGCGTAACGACCAGCGCAGCCGTGAGCGCTATGACCGTGCTAACCGCGCCGCGCAAATCCGTCGTGTATCCATTCGTATGAGTCAGTATGATCAAGAGAACCAGGAGTACGAAGGCGAAGAAGACAATCTGCTGTGAGCATCGCACCCATTCGTCGCTTGGCAATTACGAGGAACCAAGAATGTGCAGCGCAACAAACAAAACAAAAACTTTATGAATCTGACGGCTCGCACAACCAAATTGAGTCGAGTGTCGTCAATGTTGGATTCTAATAAGCAGCAACGGTGTTAACCGGTATTTTTTTTTTGAAGTTAGTGAACGCTATCGTCTTGTTCAGTTCATGTACTTAGCACGCACTAATTTCAATCATTGCGTGCAGAGTTAACATTAATAGTAACCATTTCGGCTGCCAAGACTGTTTCTTGACCTTCTTCCTCGGGGGTGAGCAGGCTGTGCTTAGTTGCTCCGGTGATGGTGGGGCTGACGCTGACGCTGTCACTTGAGTGGTCAACGTGAATTGTCTTTGTGACGACTCCAGACTGGGACACCTTTGTGTGATGGATGACGCTCGAAACTCCTCCCAAGGGCGCTTTACATGCTACAACCTCGCACTTGTATTCATCTGCTCCTTCCTCGGATGCCTTCGTCACGATGCTGGTCACGTTATTGTTCGTTGAGTTTCCGCTCACCACTAGACACGCCTGACCATTTTTAATCATATCCCAGTATTTTTCTCGAAGCTGTTAAAATGGCGACAGACACGTTAGATTACAATTCAAGAGTTCATCAGTGCTAAGTACGCACCTGCTCTGGGATATTATTCGGTCCATCGTTGTTGGAGTCGCCTATTACCGTCGGAGAAAGAGAGTGGCCTGAAAAGACCACGGTGCCACGAGCACACAGTTTTCCGTTCTCCAGCTCCTTTTTCATCCATTCTGGGCAGAACAGTTAGATTCGGTTCAATGTACAATTCATGGTGGAAGCCACAATGCAATCCTGCTGACCTGTCTGTGCTGGTATTTCTTCTTCGAAGTCCTGTGCGTGACATAGCATTGCAGTGTTGATGACGATGCACTTAATACCCCCGAACCTAAATCGTGAAATGATCGGTTAGTGTCGTAACATTCCTTACAGAATCCGGGGTTCGATCTACCAAAAGCTGAAGCGGGAATCACCAAAGCGTTCTTGGTACTTCGCCAGTTCGTCTTTACTGTCAAACTCATCGGAACCTGCTGCAAAAACCTGACAAAGGTCAAGTTAATTAGCGCTAAGCTTAACCATATAGTTACGAAGTAGTGACCAAGAGACACCAAATACATACCAGACGGATTTGCGGCTTGATTTGATTCAGCAGCTCCTGGAAAGCTACGACTTGAGCAGTGTAGAATTCTTGACTTGGCTTAGCGTTAACAAAGTCTCCGCAAATCACAACGAAGGCTGGTTGTTGGTAGTTCAGAACTTTTACAGCTTCGAGGAATGTTGCGGATTCGGTCTCCCATACAGAGCCACCCCTGTTATCTGCTTCAGTCAAGGCAGCGGCATGTCCAAGTTTGGGTCCTGAGAGCTATAAAAAATCGGAAAACCAAGATGCATCCGACGGTGTTACTGGCACTTATGTCAACAAAATTTTCGTATCAGAACCAACCTGCATGAAGGAGAAGGTGTCACTCCATTGATTTTGAAGATCATGGGTAAGTCCTACGTATCCTTGGTTGCGGGCGTACAAGCACCTACCACGGCTGACCGAGCTAAAGAAGCGAGGGTATAGCCCTGTATTTGATCTAGTGGGTTAGTAACCTGCTTCCGAATGAGATTTAAAGTGCACTTACCCGGCAAATGCAGGATGTGCTTGCGGCGAAGAACATGCATCAAGATACTTGTGTCTCGTGACGAAAGTGCTTTGATTTGCTCTTGTAAGATGTCTCCGTCGAAGGTCAAAGAGTCTTGTGTATTACGAGCTTTCTCCATGGCAGCAAGGTTTTTCACGAGCGGGAATAGCTTTGGTCCACAAAAGTGGGAAGCAGGCTGTTGTGCTTGCACGTGGTTGTCAAAGTCGATGTCCTTGAAAAAAGGGTGTGCTGTACAAACAAACGGCATTCCACCCGTTAGAAGACAGTCTTCATGTCGAGCAGTGTTTAAATTACCTTTGACTGCACTCATAGCATTGCTTTCAGTGCCTCCTAGGCGGTCTGTGGGGACTTTTTGCAGCAGTTTGCTAATCAAATCCTTGGCGTCGTTAGAGAGGTAGTCTGGCAAGTAATAGCTTCCATCTTGAACACGGAGGAATGTGAGGTACGCGCTCCCGCCACTAAACGGTGTTTCTCCTGTCAGAATCTGATAAACGATGCAACCGAACGCCCACATGTCGCTAGCATAGGTAGGTTCCTTGTTGTCAATCGTCTCTGGAGGCATATATTCTGGCGTGCCAACGAAATTTGGTCCGTTCAGTTTGTTGTCAGCCAGGTTCTTGGCTGTTCCAAAGTCAATGAGCTTCAGGTGGCCACCCGTATCCTTACAAACCACCATGTTTTCTGGCTTCAGATCGCGATGAAGCATTTGGTTTGAGTGCATGTACTCGACGGCGTTCACGACATCAGCCAAGTAGAAGCGCGCGAGATCCTCATCCAGTCCGACTTGTCGGCCTTCGTGCAGTAAATGGCTGAGCAGCTCGCCACCGTTCAACAGCTCTAGCAGAAAATATAAATTGTTGTCATCCTGAAATGTCTGGTACAGGCGAATGATGTTCGGGTGGCGCAGGTGGTTGAGTGCCTCCTTCTCCATGTTGATCTCATTGAAGATGTTTTGGTGACGAAGGCGCAATCGTTTGATGCGCTGCTTCTCGATGACTTTCAAAGCAAACCTTTCTCCTGTCGCAGTGTGTGTGGCTTCCAGGATACGCGAAAAGTTGCCCTCGCCCAGTGATTTACCCTGCGCAAACTCTTCGATTTTCGGCTTGTCGGTCGCGTCCTTCGCTGCAACAACACAACAAATAATTATCATATCATGTAGAAATAACAGTCCTAGTTTAGGTGCTGTGTGGAGCGATCAAAAGATACAAATGGGTGAGCATGGGCGTACGGCTAATCGTCATGGTGGCGTCGTCTCGGTGCCTTGGTTCGTTTTTTGGCAACTGAATTCGAAGCCGGTGGCGCTTCAACCATTTCTAAATGGCCTTTAGAAATGAATGGAGAGACTAATGTTGCACCTGGTGTTGGCCACTCCAAGTTCGGTGGCTACTAATAGAAACCCTTTTATATGCGTTACGTAAGGCTGTGGGGGGAGACGGAAAATAACTCAACAACCGACGAGCGCAGTGAGAGAACTCCGAGCCGCCGCCTTGCCATCTCACGCTTCTAGCTCTCATCAGAAAGCAGCCACCTATCCCAAAGCCTCCGTTTGTGCAGGTACAGCGTGCGTTCCTGTCAATTCCGTGCTCCTTGCCCTCTGGTTGCTGCAGCGACATCAGAGGATACCTTTTTCTCTCTGTCGACGACTCGTCCGGACTCTTTTTTTCCACCCTCTTTTGCGCCGTCAGCACTCAGAGTATCTGCTCAACGCGCACATTGGGATAAGACAAGTGGCCGGGCGGACCATAGGCAGCCGGGGCGGTAGCGACTGGAGAAATAGCTTATCAAAATCCTTGTACTGACTGATGCGGTGGGGTTTCTGCTTGGTAATAACGACAGATCTGTAGCTCTTCAGCATAATGGCTCGTCATGAAAACCCTTTCGACATGCAGATCAAGCTGCTGATGATCGGCGACAGTGGTGCGTGCAGAGATAAAGAAAAAAATGCTTAGCTGAGACGGTGGGTCGTTGACGATCGTTTGTTGGGTTGAAACCTTAGGTGTGGGCAAGACGTGCTTGCTGCTGCGCTACGCTAATGACTCGTTCTCTCCGACGTTTATCACAACCATCGGCATCGACTTCAAGATCAAGAACATAGAGCTGGACAACAAGAAGGTCAAGTTGCAGATCTGGGACACAGCCGGCCAGGAGCGCTTCCGCACCATTACGACGTCGTACTTCCGCGGTGCACAGGGTATTTTATTGGTGTATGACGTCACAGACCGCGCATCATTCCAGAGCATTCGCAACTGGGTGGGCCAGATCCAGCAACACGCCGACGTGCATGTGAACAAGATCCTCATTGGCAACAAGTGTGATATGACGGACGACAAGGTCGTAAGCACGGAGGAGGGTCAGGCATTAGCGGACGAGTACGGAGTCAAGTTCTTTGAGACAAGTGCGAAGAACAATATCAACGTGGAAGGCGGCTTCATCGAGATCGCGCGTGAAGTGAAGAACAGGCTCATGGAAGAGGGCGGACCGCACAAGAAGGACAGCGTCAACCTCAACGCAAAACCAGCACCCGTGAAGAAAAGCTGTTGCTAAGCCTCACAGTCAGTTTGCTTGGGTTCAGTGGCGTCGCAGCTTGATAACGCTCGCTCGCTGCTCCTCCACATATGCATTCTGCCTTACTATAGCTACAACTTCTACTCATATACTTTTTTCATCAATTATGTTGTACAGCTTTGCATGGTGTCCTGTGTTTCTTAAACGCATTTAATGGCGCTCATACGAGCTCTAATCTGTCTGGCGCTCCCACACACGTACTGAGTTGTCAATGGATGCAGTTAGAGCAATTTTACCATCGTAACTAAAACTGCAGTCGAAGACCTCAGCATCGTGACCGCGTAGTACTTGTAGACACTCTCCGGAGAAAGCGTTCCAGACACGAGCTGTTCCGTCGGTACTTGCTGTGAGAACTTGAAGTCCCTGCATGCTAAAGCAGATCTTATTAACTGCATTTTGGTGACCAGACAGCACGCATCGCCTGGTTCCCGTGAGAGTGTCATATATGAAAGCGTTGCCATCAGTGCCGCAGGACACCACTAATGCTCCAGTTGCATTGAATGTGGCGTGGGTTACTTCATGCCCTTGATGATCCTCCCAGTCATAGAGACACTTGCCTGTCCGTGCATCCCACAACTTGCACGTCCCGTCGGAAGACGACGATAGTAAAGTATTAGCTTGGTAGTCGAATGAGACGCTTAATATGTCGGCGTCGTGATGCTCGATACAGCGAAAACAGCTACCATAACGAGTGTCCCAAAGTCTCACCGTGGAGTCACAAGAGCCTGTGGCAATGAGCTTTTTATCATCCGAATCAAATGCCAAGCAGGACACTTCTGCAGAATGACTTGATAACATTAGCTGAGGGCTTTCGGTCGGGACATCCCAAACAACAGCAGTGCCATCAACCGAGTGACTACCAAAGCATTCACTGTTGCTGGACCCTGGCGCAAACACAACGCCCACGACCTCTCCAGCATGAGCGCGATAGACTCCAATGGATGTTTTTGTTTGTACATCCCATAAGCGGCAAGTCTTGTCGAATGACCCAGACAGCAATCGCGTGGCATGAGGTTTGTTGAAAGCTAAGTTAAACACAACTCCGTCATGGCCTACCAACGTGGCAACTTCTTTCTCGCAGTGTTTGTTATGAAGTGACGACATCGTGGGCGGACATGGCGGGTCAAAAGGCCGCAATAATCGGATAGTCTTGTCGTAGCTACTAGTGGCTACTAGTTTGGCGCTCTTGCTACAGGCCATGTTGGTCATCGGTAGTTGATGAGGTCGCAACGTGGAATGCTGCCGGAATGCACTGCCTTGTTGGTGACCTGCGTGCACAAGGTGCTTGTCCAAGAGTCGGTGAAGAAGTTCCTTAATCTTGGACAGGGTTGCCCTCGTAAGCAATCGCTCTTTATCCACAAGCTGTTGAGCCAACAGTGCAATGTTGGACTCCGCATTAAGGTGGGGTAAGTCGATGGTCTTGAGATTTATCTGGCCATTGGAGTGGACATATTCCAAACGCAATGCTGGCGGGTAGTATCTCAGAGGAGCTGCATGGGTCGCTACGGTAGCTCATACGTGTCAGCCCCCGACGAGTCGCTTGAGACGGAAGCTCCATTCATTGGAGCCTACAAACCGTAAGTCAAGCGCCCAAATTCGGAAAAGGTACCCCCTCGAAAGTGATATGGGTCCCCTTACCGCAATGATTACTCCCGTCACGTGGCATCCTCTCAGAATGTATAATATATATCATGCTTCAAAATTCAATTGAATCCAGCCGCAACTTCGTTCGTACTATGAGCGAGGCGTCGTCTTCTCCGCGCTCCGTTAGCTCCATTGCGCCCACATCTGCCTCTGGGTCGCGGAGCAACAGACACCATGGAAACCAGGCATTTGCTAACATCTCTGCGATGGATCTACTGCAAAGTACGCGCTCACAGCATCAACCTTCTTCTGTCTAACAAGATTTTGAAAAAAGTCATTACAACCTCGTCTCATTTTTGTGTCTGCAGCGCTACCGCTCACCGCCGCCGGTCGTCCCGCGCTCTTCGGCAACGAGGTGGAGATTTACAGCGAGGAGCACATCGGTCTGTATGACCGCACTTTCAAGACGCCGCACTTGCACGGCCGCTGCTCGGTCACCACACACCGCCTTTTCTACATGGACGAGACAAGTTCTCCACCCGTGGCGTTTTTCGTGCCGCTGGAGTGGATCACACGCATTACGAAGGAGGCAGGCTTCTTGCAACGCTCCGCTAAAGTGCGGGTGGACTTGACAGCGCGCACACAGCCACAAGCTACGTCGTTCTTGAAGTTGTCGTTTAAAGATGGAGGACGAGACGACTTTTTCAGTCCCTTAGAAGCCTCGTTGAAGCGGAAAGCTTGGAAAGATATGCAACCAAGTCATTTGGCTGATAGACGACTGGTAAAGCGGCAGTTCAACGCTGCGGATGCAGGGATTGCTGGCATTATGCGTCGCCAACAGGAGGCACAGAAAGAGACAACGGAATTGGCCGCCACAGCGTTCTCTGACTTGGCTAACCTGATGCTTAAGGCTAGAGATATGGTAAGTCTGATTGAACGGTATGTGGACGCCCAGAAAGGCGTGGAAACGAATGGAGAAGACGGAAATACGACGTCTAGGGAGGACGATATCAACAAGCTCAGCTCGTTGATGCTGGATATGGGTATCACCAGTCCAGTGACGCGAGAGAACTCAGGTGGAGCGTACTACGAACAACTTGCACGGCAACTTGCAGAGTATCTTAGCGATCATATGCCGAAGCATGGAGGGATCATGACTCTGTCGGACATCTACTGTATGTTCAATCGAGCACGCGGTGTAGAGCTGGTGTCTCCGGATGATCTGTATCATGCAGCACTGCTGCAAAGAAAGCTGAAACTCGGGTACAGTGTGCGCAAGTTCCCTGGTGGACTGATCGTGCTGCAAACAGACTCACATCGCGAAGACAAAGTGGCTGATCGCCTCGCCAAGATGGCACAGAAGTCCAGTTCCGGCTACATCACTTCAACTGACGTGTCCGTGGAGATGCATACGTCCTTCCCGTTAGCTTGGGAATACCTGAAGGTAAGGAGAATAACAGAGCGCGGCTTACAGGGGTTTGTAACGAGACTGACCCGATGTGGTGGTGCTTTCCGCTTACAGGTAGCAGAAGAGCTGGGGAAACTCTGTCGAGATGAAACATTTGAGGAAACCAACTTCTATCCCAACAACTTTGAACAGTTTGTGCAAGATACAAAGGTAGAGTAGCCAACGACGTAACTTTTTTGTTGGGGATAATGTCTGGATATCAGTAGAGATGGAAGATGCTTGCTAGATTAACATGTGGAAGATAGACGTGGCGAAGTATGCTGTAACTTCGAGCTTTCTGTTGCTGTTTCTGTGAGCTCATGCTTCAATGTTCCGTCTGGTTCTCGTGCTGCACAGGCTTCATCGCGCGCTGTATATGGATGTACCGCACAGTCTTTAGCACGCCGCCCACCTGGACTTTCGAGCTTTTCGGAATGACAGGCTCTCCATCCGTCACCTTGACCATTTTGGACACACAAACGAGCTCTTCTTCGTCTTCGCTTTGCGTGTTATTCATATCTTCTTCCTGATTGCTCAAGCTTGTGGGGTGCTGTAGCTTACGATCAAGCACTTCTAGCATTCTCGACTCGGAAAGCTGGTCATGAAGTCGTCGCTGAAACACTTTTTTCCGCCTCGGAATCTTGGTGGCCAAAGCTGCATCACTCTCGGGATTCATCTCGAAAGCTCGGACGTTGGAATGTAAAACAAATTTAAAAAGGCGAAACAAACTTAAATCGACTTTTACCACTGGGATAGGAAAGCAACATAGCCGTCCGTCCACAGAGACCGGTAGAAAACCGGTATAGCGTGCATGAGTGGTTTGTTCCTGCGAGATGGATGCGGGGCGACTGAGGCTCGAATGATGGTTCCGGACGCTTTCGGCCGCTGCGTGGTTAGCGCTCTCATTGGGAGACAGCTCCTCGACGACAGCGCCGGGCTGCTGAGACACCGATCGTGCGGGACGCGCGTCTGCAAAAGGAACGCTGAAACGCGCGAAGGAACGTGCGGAGGAGACTCCAGCCGCGCGGAAAACGCGCCTTGCAGAAGAACGTCAGAAGAGAGCAAGAAAATGCGCAGAGGGGACCCCTCTAGTGCGCATAGAACGTCTCGAGAAGGATCGAGCGAGAAGAGCGAAAGTGATAGCTGGGCGCGGGCAAGCAGCTCGAGAAATACTTCTTGCGGAGAGGCGAGCTGGTGACAGGGCTCGTCGAAGTGGCCAGCGCCGTGAAACCGGGGCTGTGGTTAGCGTCGCTATGGAGGACCTGGGAGCTCGAGCTTTGAGTTGTGGAAACTTTTCGGGCGAGAAAATTGCATTTATAGGCTCGTCTTCCTCCCGGCCACACACGGAATCCACAGGCACCTCGACGATGCCAAGAGGCAAGAAACTGTCTGAGAAGGAGATTGGACGGGTAAAAGCGCACGTTAAGGATGGAAAAAGCAAGCGCTGGATACACGAGAGATTGGCCGAAGTCCGAACGCTGCCTGCAACGTATTGAAAGCTCCAAATCGTGCAAAACTCAGCAAACGACTCGGAAGACGACCAAAATCGACCAAGCGCCTGATCCGACAAGTTGTTCGACTCGCTGCCGCAAAACAACTATCGTCTTAAGGTATTTCGGAGGCGGTTGGCTAGGCTCTACGACCCAGTACCGTCCGTAAGATACTAAGCTCGTCTAAAATTGCCAAGTCAATCAAAAAAACGGAAACCGGCTTTGGCCATCAAGCCTCACCACAAGGTGGCTCGGGCGGCCTTTGCCGCTAAATAGCAAGTAAAACGCACATCTGGCGTCGAGTAATCTTTAGTGATGAGAAAAAGTTTAGCTTGGATGGCCCAGATACGTACTTGGTTCCTTTCCTCGAAAACTTTCGTGAAAAACATGGTGTTCGGATGCCTATTTTCAGCAAGATAATGCCTCTATTCACGAATCTAGGTTCACAAAAGCCCAAATTGGGGGCCTTGGAATCAGGAAACGAAAGTGGCCTGCCAAAAGCACCGATTTAAACCCAATTGAGAATGTCTGGGGCCAACTAGCCTGGTCGGTCTACGAAGGAGGACGTCAATTCGACACCAGGGACGAGCTGAAGACTCCGATCAAACGAAGCTGGCCGCAACTCAGCAGAGCTATCTACAAGGTCTCGTCAAAGGTATGCCAACGCGGATGGCGCAAGTAGTTCTCAAAAATGGAAGTGCTATTGATAAATAGAACAACTTCTAGGTGGTGTCCCTATAGATAAGAACACCCCTAAAATGGCAATTTCACTTAAGAATTTGCAATACGTGCATTTTTTAAAAAAGGGTTGCCGTTAGTTGTTAGACATTAGGCAAGCGTTTCTTGGACCAAGCGGCATCATCCCTCGTATTGTGAGTACAGTTTGAAAAATCTAGTGTCCCTATAATTAATAGCAACACTGTATGGAAACACACTACAAACATTATTTTTTATTTCAGGAATCACCTTTGACGTTGCCTTCCTGGAGGGATCCACTTGAAGATAAGCTGTTTTACTTGCTAACAATAAGCGACAACAAGCTAGTTTTCTGTAATTTCATCAGAAACAGGCGTATCAGCTCAATTTTGTTTGGATTTGAGCTCTCCGCGAGGCAAATTAAATCACCTGATACGGGAAAGGAAGATGAGAGGTATCCAGCAGCAAGGCTAGAATTTGAAAAGGTTAGTTATAGAGCACCAGAATCCTCATAAATAAAAATCCGTAATGGCATAATTTATTTCGGCTGATGTATTAATTCCATTATTTATTGAGCCACTTCATCGAATAATTTATCGCGGAGTTTTATTCTCAAAAATAAAAATGCCATATTCGGAGGCCCTGACTGCACCCGCTCTGGGCATGACGTAAGCCGTCGAAAAACACTGTCAGCGGCCATCAAGCGGAGTGTAACGGGGTACGTAGCACTAAGTGTACCCTGGTTACATGAAGTGTGACACTTCACACTTCAGGAGTATGACATGTCATACTCCGGGATATTTGGTACAAGGTACCAAGGTCATTCAAAACCAACCATTGGTTAAATGACATTGCATTTCTATAGGTAACTGATAGTTTGTATTAACCTCAAACTTAACCTACCTATAAATATACTCAGTTTACAATCTACCTTATTTAGGTCACTTCGCTCTCTTTAATTAAAGAGGGGACCTGTGAACTGCCGTTCACTGAGAGTTTGTATACTCTCGGAAGATAACTTCCTCTAGCGCAAGGTGCTGTGTGACCCCGTCACACTTGGTAGCACTTGTAGTCAATCCACGCCATCGCGGGTAGACTACCTGAACCTCCGAAGTTCGTTGCCATGGATAGGAACGACTTCTCCCATATGAACGACTCTCAGTTCGAGTCGGTTCGGAAGATGGCAGGCATCTTCGGGATGGAGGCCCTGCAGAGCCTGGTGGTATCAACACCGGCTGAGCAGCTCGAGCGCGTCAATGCATTCGACGCGTACGAGCAGGGCCTCATCGCGCATGTGCGGGAGAACCTGCAGGCTCCGGCGGCGGAAGCAAACCCGCCTCACCCGAAGCCAATACGGCTGAAGGTAAAGCCG